GATCTTGTGCATCTTCCCTGATAATCGATGATAATTTAAGTAATAATAATGATATTATTTATTTGCTAAAAGAGGGCGTTGCTGCCGTCCATTCCTGGTGCCCACGAAAAATTAATAAATTGATAAATAAATAAATCTCAACTTATTAATTTTGATATAAAAAATTGTTAATTCATTTTTATTAATAGCCGCGAGAATATTAATGAGAAAAGACGGGAGGGGGGTTTTTTTTTGAGAAAATAAATATCTTTATTATTTGTTATCTAAACTATTTATTAATTGGTTAATAAATATTTATTTTTTTATCCAGGAAAATTGGTGATTATAATTTCCTAAATGAGGAAAAATAGATCACCATTTATTACCACCTTTCTTTTTCTTCTTTTTATTTTTATTATCACCACCACCAGGTTTTGGTTTTTGAGGGGTTTGTTGCTGCTGCTGTTCTGGTATAGATGTTGAAACAGCTGCTATTGATGATGATGATGATGATGATCCGTCAGTAACATCTTTAGAAGATCCGGTGCTATTCATAATAAAACGTCATTAATTGTTGTGTTTAATAGATAAAAATATCACAATAATAATCAAATAATAATAACAACCGTTTTCCTGCAATGTTTGCGCTTCCAGTAGTGCCTATACCACCGATTCCTACAGAAACGCCTTGTGAACCTTTCATCATTTGTAGTTTCTTTTTACCTTTTACTCTGTAAGTGGATCTCTCATGTTTTGGTAACCAACGTTCAGGATCTGGTTTTATGGATGGATCATAACTTTTAGGAAGCAGAGGCTTACGTTTCCTTTTCTTCTTTGGTTTATTATTTGTCGTTGATGACGATAATATATTGCCATCGATCTTTTTAACGTAACTTTTTTTGACACCAGGTACAACCTTCTCGAGTGACTCGACATCAATATCCATTGTTGAAGATGTGATAACATCCGGTAAAGAACTTTCGTATTTCTCTGCCAAAGCCACATCATATTGCGAGTATGCAGCAACCAATCCTGCTATTGATTGGGTATCGGTTGGATCAGCCTTGACCAATTGTTCGAAATCCTGAGCTGCTTCGCGATATTTACCAATTTTAAGTTTAAAGGATGCGGTCTGTTTAAGAATCGATGCACTTTCTTCGCTAGAACCAACGCTACTTTTCCAAAATTCACCAGCTTCCTCCAACGCTTGAATTGCTTTTTGCGGTGAACCAGCATTCTCGTAAAGCCAGACCAATAAACCTACATAACCGGGTTTATTTTTTTCAGTGTTATCGTTGATCGAAGCTAAAAAATTGGAAAAAGATTCTAAAGCTCCGGCGGTGTTTGATTGCAAAAGTTGCAATTGTATTAACGCAAAATTGATTGGTAGAGAAGTAGGCCGAGTTTTGACGCATTCTTGTAATTCTTGGATTGCTTTTGAAGTTTTCTTTTGTAAATATGATGTAGCAACCAAAATTAAGTACAAGTAATCATTCTCGGGATAAATTTGTAATAGTTTGCGAACAGAATCTTGACAAGCTGCATACTATATGAATATATTAATATATAATATGTAAATGATTAATTTAATTGACAAAATATAACTTGCTTTCCCTCAAAACAAAATGAATAAATAATAAACCTTATGCATGTATAATGCTAGTAATGATTCATTCATTGCTATTGTACGTTTCTGTATTCTAAATAATTTAGTTTCCAATGGTTTTGCATTGGCAACACGTAATTTTTTTGCAGAATCAAATAACTCGGTGTCTTTCTTTGCTGCCACCAAATTATTTGATGCGATAGCTGTTACTATCACATCTGTATCTCTAAAATCAATAAATTTTAATAAATTTTAAATTGTTGAGCATAGGAAATTTGTATGTAGAAAATTTTAAATTATAATGAATTGTTAACTTGCCTGAATTTTAATACATATTGATAAAGTTCAATAGCATCTGAAACTCTGCCTTGAAGCTGATATACATAAGCTAATTGTACATTGATTGTGGCCAATTCCTTTTCTATTTCTTGTTGACTTAATTCTTCTTCCTGAAAATATTGTCTACAAAGTTCTATTCAAAATAGTAAATATTTGTGCAAACATATGAAATTATGTTAAATATTAACTAATAATAAGAAATATAGTATACTTTGAGATAATTTTAATAATTTTTCGGCTTTTCCCAAATTTTTTAGTCCTATATAAATACATGCTGAATTATAAGCCAATTCGTATGTGGTTGATGAATCTACAACAGCATACTAATATTAATCGAAAAAAAGAGATTAATTAAATGTTAATTTCTCTGTTTTTTTTTTTCAAGCAAAAAATTAAAAAAAAAACCTTTTCAAGCAAACTTCCTCCAGAAAACAATAAAGCTGCTTTTACTGCATTGAAATTTGTTAGAATGTCATTATAAGTATCCTCTTTCTAAAAATATTATTATATTAATTAGTTAAATTAATTAACATTTCTTTGCTAGATCATAATAATAATAATAATAATAAATATTCAATGATGGCCAACTTTGTCTGTTTCTTTTAATAAATTATAATAAAGTTCTAATGACGTGGTGTAATCTTCAATTTTATATGCCTATTTATACAATTAATAGTTATTAATCCGTGATTTAATAATTACAACCATAACACACTTATATTCAACAATGATATCAAAATTGCTAACCACTTGAGCTTCTAAATGTCTCAAGAGAAGATCAGCATTTCCCGAAGGTTTATTATAGTTTTGCAATTGTTCAGAGATCTCTTTGAATTGATTTAGTCTGTAATGACAAAAAATCTTTTGTGATAAAAATTGCTCATCAGGAAAATCTTTTGTTAAAAGGTCTAATGTATTTTGATATTTGCCAAGTCTAATCAATGCAACAATTTTACATTGAAGTGCGTCTTTATCATCGGGACTCAACTGAAGAACTATTTTTAAAAGGTGAATTAGATGGAAAAAATAAAAAATTTTGAATTCGATGTTTAAAAAAAAAATCATTACTTTTATTAACAGTTTTAAGAACTTTTACATAATCTTCTTTTTTAACTGAACGTTCTACTTCAGCGAAAAGTTGCGTGATGGTTGTAGACTCTTTTGACGCGGCATTTTGTGCAGACATATTTTTTCCTTTTTCAGTTGGGAATTTATTAAAACCAGATCTAAAAATTTTAATGCTACAAGTTACACAAATTCATTGTTTGAACACACGCACATACGTAATTGTTTCTGTCTGATGCACCGATTTAGAAACTCTTGGTGATTATCAAATGACAAGTATATCAATATAAAATTAAAAAAAAATATAATAAATTCACAGATAATTATATATTCTTTATTTTTATCATCTATGGCAACTACAACTACTGATCAAAACAATCCAACTAATTCCACCACACTCACTGCAACAACAACAACTACATCAACAACAATTACAACAGCATTTGTTGAACCAGTCAAAGCAACAACTATTACTACCACTACCTTAGTTGCTCAAAATCCAACAGCAGCATTAGAAAAATTTAAAAAACCTGATTCTTCAAAAGGTATATAAATCTAAGTCTAGAATGAGTTGATCCTTTTTTTTTATTTTTACTCAAAGAAAACTCCCCAAATCTATTATATTTTAATTCAAAATAGTTGTAATACGATTTAGAGCAATAGGTAATGCACCAATACTAAAACAATTAAATTATAAAATAAATGCTGCAAACAAGTTTCAAGCTGTGATTAAATTCTTAAGAAAAGAATTAAATTACAAGACTTCGGATCCTTTGGTATGAGTTGATTTTTATTTTTTAAATTTAAAAAAAAAAAATAGGGGAAAAAAAAACTAATTAATCATTACTTTACATGTAAATAAGTTTGTATATATAAATAGTGCATTTTCACCAGCTCCTGATGAGATTGTTGCGAATTTATTTAAGGTAAGTAGATAGATGATTTTAAGGATTTATAAATTTTGAATTTTGATGATTTAATCATTTTTTTCCCAATAATCTTCTTAGTGTTTTAGCACTGATGGAAGACAGCTTATAGTAAATTATTGTACAACTGCAGCATGGGGTTAAAGAAAGAGAAAAGAATGGGAATGAATAATTGACAATAGTAATGATGATGATGATGATGATGATGATGATGATAATAATATATTTATAGATTTTTTTTTATAAATATATTTTTTATTTGTAATAATTAATAACATATTTTTCTCTTCAAAGATTTTATATAGAATGCAAATATTTAATTTTAGATGTTATATATATATACTTGAAATTTTTAACAAATAATATTTAATATAGCTATTATTATTATTATAATAGTAATAGGTAGATATATATAATTGATATTTCTTTTAAAAAAATTTTCTATTGTTTTTTAAATTATCATTTGGATATTACTTTTATGTTTTACTCTTTAAATAAATTTAGATGTTCACTTCCGTTTATTCATTCATTTGTTAAATAATTTTTTGATTTTTGTTATTGTTGCCAATATACACACTTCCAATCAATTAACTACAAATACCTAGATAAAAGCGAGAACCTTTATTGTATTGGTTTTTTTTTAAAAAAAATTAATTTTACAAGTTCTCTGCACCTTATAACTTACCCTTGTATGAGTTTTTCGGATCCTTAGTTTTTAACTAATTTTTATAAATTCTTAATTCAAATCATCGACCGACTAAATTCTAGTCCTAAGTAAAAGCTTCGCCAAACAGGAGAAATAGATAAAGCCTTCAGCAAGCAACATTTCGTCAAATGAAATGAACAAAATCTTTGATCTGTCACCAAAAGCACTATTGTATCATGTCTATTACAGTATTCATAATAAATAAACTGTATCGTCCAAGTAATAATAATAATACTAAGATCCATGCAGAAATGAAACCAATTTTGAAAAAAATTACTGACAAGTAAAAATGAGAAAATTTGGCCAGATTTGGAAAATGAACCCTTGATATTTTTGTTAAATTTTAATCTGGGCCTCCTTTCTGTATAGGTTGAAGGTTCCATCGTCAAGTGGCAGTGGAAAATTCTAGAATCTCTACTTGGCACACTTCCCAATTGTGTACAATCACTGTTCGAAATTCAATCGGCGGAATCGGCGTGCACTAACCAAATATGGAAATTAACCGCAGATAATTTCTAAAATTAGATTAGTTTATGTAAAGGCGCAGTCGAATTTCGAACACTGTGTACAATTGCGGGTTTGTAAAGTTCCCTAAAAATCGTTTCTGAAAGATAAAATGAACATCCAACATATTGAACTTAGGTGTCAGATTTCATGGAACTATTCTTTAACACTTATGCTGGGTTCCTTCCATTAACACCTTTGGGATGGAGTCTGAGCATAAGAGAAACTTCAATAGGTTCTTTGGGAAAAATCCAAATGTAATTTCAATAAAGTTCATGGATCGCTGTCCTCCACCATTGACTTTCCATTACATCGTACCCTTTGGAGACATTAACCTTTTATTTTCAGAGAATAACAATAATTATTGTAATATTTTAATATCTGAACCTAGTTGTATTTGGATCCCCCAATTAACATATTAATAAGAGCTGATGTCAAGACAGTAACCCAGCCAATCGTCTTTTCCATTTAATATTGTTATAAACTAATGCAAGTCCTTCGAATTTCAGCCTTGCGAATTAATTTAATAAAAAACCCCCAAGTTCATAATAAAAACCAACCATCATATTTTACATTGTCTTGAGAATGCTCAAATATTTGCATATTAGCCTACCATTAATCACAAAGGTTCTTTCCAAAAACAAAACAGCACATGCACCTTCTACCATTTGACAAACAACTGGAGTTTCTAGATAAATGATATATGTCCTCCACTTGCCACAAATAATTAATAATTTATATAAGATATTATTGTTAGTATTTATAATAATGATAATAATAGAAAATTCCAAGTCATGTTAGGGTGTTAGACACAAGTTAGAGGCCTGCACAGGTCATCATAATTGAATGATTACCCTGTATAAAAAAATAATTTGCAACCCGAACCCAACTTGTACACAAAAAATTATAAAAATCTCAACCCGAACCCGACTTGTACACAAAAAATTTCAATCCAAACCCATTTTTTATTAACAACGTTGTAACACAATTTTATTTAAAAAATAACTTTTGCAATTGTTAATTACAAGAAAGAAAATTTTACTATAATGAGCTTCTTAATACAAGAATACTATTAATTGTTTGTGGATTTAAATTTGAGTAAAGCTCATTAACTGTAAGTCCAGCTGCACTAAACTCTCTTTCACTAGGTGCACTGGAACATATAATAGGCAGCAAGCCTTGAAAGTCTTGGATAAACATGTTGATGGTCTTTCCATCATTCTAAAATATTAAAGTTATCATCTTTTTGTATTTTTGTTGATAAATACAAATCAACATCATCTTTGTCATCATCTTCATCATCATTATCATCATAATATTTGCTAAAATCACCTAGCTCTACATTTGAATTTGAAGTTGAAATTGTAGTTGATAATTTTGCTTGCATAGAATTATCATTATTATTACTGTCAGCATCAACACCATCATCATTAATTGTTAGATTACCACATTATCTTTTAATTTCATTTTTTACCCAGATGGCATCATCAGACTCCAATATTTTTAATTTTTTCATAAGAGGATTGCTAATTTATATAATTCATTTAAATTCGGGTCAATTTGGGTCAAACTCGGGTCATAATTGTTATAAATTACAACCCGAACCGACTTTCGGGTTCGTGTTGGGTTGAAACACAGGACCCAACCCAATGCAGGCCTCCAAACTATAACCAATAAATCAGTATATACCCTCTAAATCAACCATCGTTAATAATGCAATGTGCCATTTTCCATTGCATTACATTTGATAATATGGGGCATACTACAACAAAACCAGACAAAGTGAACATTTGCACTATCAAGGATTTCAGAGATCAAAAATTTAGTTATCATCAATATTAATATGATTTTATAATGTCATATTTGTTATCTTGTTTTTTCTTAAGTGATATATAAAACCATCCCTAATAAAAACAGTTAATATGAAGCTCATTTACATCAGATCTACTATGGAACCCAAGAATTATAGTACTATCAGAAGTATTTTAAAAAAAGAACAAGGTGAAAAAATTGCTCTTTATATTTTCAAAATAAATGATGCTCAGATGCTGGAAGCTTATCTAAGAAAAGAAAGGATTACCTATGAAATTTACCAACAAGAAAGAAAAATAATAGATGTCAGAAAAAGAAAACAAAATGAAAGTGTACTATTACCTAACAAAAAGCAAAAATCTTTAAAAGAAAATAACTACGATTTTCTTTGATGGTTGGAATGAATTTCAGTTTATACAGAATATTCTTTAAACTATTTTTTTATTTTCAATCAAGGTTATTTCTTAGTTTCTTTAACTTCAATTTGAGCAATTTGGCAATTCTGTTCCTCTTTTAACTTCTTGTTTTCCCCTTCTAATTGCTTATTATTTTTCTTCTAAACTCTTTATCTCATTTAATAGTTCCTGCTTTTGTCTCTTACCTCATTCTTCTGATTTCTCTTGAAATTTGACTATTTATTCTCTTTTGATACTTAATTCCTCTTTAGTAGTTGATAACTGCTTTCTACTAGAATTTATTATATTATTACATATTAAGAATAGAATTTAGCTAGAGAAAGCTTATAAAGTAATGTAAAAATCATTCAATATTATATATATAGTTCCAACTTTAAATTTATTAATATACCATTGTATTTTTTTTTGATATAAAGAAAGGTTTCATTCTTGGTGCAAAGGAAGATTTTGTTTTGGTACAAAGAAAAGGTTTGTTTTTGGCACAAAAAAAAGGTTTCGTTTTGATACAAAAAATTCTTTGCTAATTGATATATATATATAGTTGAAGGAAAAGGAAATCAGAATCTAAAATGCAAATTTGGGAGTTGGACTAGGAAAATCGACCCCTCAGCATTTGTTACACATGATTTTTTATTAGTAAAATCATACCAAATCTATTTTTAGAAAAAATTTTCCTAGTCCAACTCCCATATTACAAAATTGGAAGATGCAAAAATAAATCTTTCCGTTATATTTGTGAAACTGGACTATCAATATGTGCAACAAAAAGGAAAATATTATTAGCATGTTAAGAATTATATATTAATTATTGTTTCAAAGAAAAAAGGATATAGAGTTAAATGATTATCTGATAGTGAACTATCTTGTTACGCGACAAAATAGAATATTATTTTTGTTATTATCATTTTGTTATTGTCATATTAACTAACATTAGTTAATTTTTTATAAGGATTTAGGGTTAAACAATTGATTCAATAGTGAACAATCTTGTTACGCGACAAAACAGAAAACATTATTATATTATTATTTAAAAAAGGATCTAGGGTTGAATGATTGATCTTATGGTGAACAATCTTGTTACGCGATAAAGCAGAAAACATTATATCATTAAAAATTGCGATCTTGTTACGTAATCAATAATATTACATATGTATATATTTTTATAATAATATTATTGTTTTAAAAATTTATATTTTTGGGGCAATTAGGGAAAATTTTCCATTAAACCAGATATCCGCTATATCGAGAAGGTTTTTATTATGGAACCGTTCTTTGAACTTTATCCGTAAAACCGAGATTTTCAATTAGTATTCGCTAAATCGAGATTCACTGTATATTTTTTATAAAATAAATAATTTCAAATAGCTAGCAAACTATATGATGGCGAAGAAAATTTGGAGTTAGATCGGTCTAAAAGGTTGATATTTATATTTTTCTTATTTTAAGTTGCAATAAATTATATTTGTTTCAGGTTGGGTGCTTAAAAAGAAAACAAATGAAACCAATTAAAGAATAGATCCAAAGGTCAAAACTTGCTAGAAGTTATGTTTCATGCAATAACAGTAAATTCAACCAAAAATGACAGCTAAAAATATGCACAAAGAACTTTTAAGCGTGTAGAACAAGATGAGCTCGAAGCAGAACTTCTACCATTGCCAATTGGATAACTAGAACTTGTACAGGCTGAAAAAAAAAGGCAGAATAAACATTGGATTTACTATTTTAAAATATTATCGTCCAATAAAATAATAATGAATATTCAGGATTTATGATAAAAAAAAATTACTATTTTTTGACCTTTAATCTGACGTACACATAATAACTAAAGAAAAGTTTTCCTGGAATTGTATCAGTGGATCTGCAAATTACTTCCTAAAATCATATTAATATATATAAAAATGATTGAAAGTAAAACGAATGTCGCACCATTTTTTTACATTAAACTTTTGCTTTCTTCGAAGAGTCACACAAAATTCATTTACACTTCTATTTCAAAATGTCTGGAATCTGTTTAGCTCGTCTCACTGAAGAACGTAGGCAATGGAGAAAAGATCATCCTTATGTGAGTGTTTAACGAATGTATATTTATGTATGTATATTTTTGGTATATTAAAACCAAAAACCTTTTACTTTTTACAATAAAGGGTTTTTATGCCAGACCAATGAAAAACGAGAAAGGCTTAGATTTATTAACTTGGCAAGCTGGCATTCCAGGAAAAAAAGGAGTAATTATATATAGTCACTAATTTTTTTTTACTTATTGATCATATTTGTTAAAAAAGAGTTTTCAGCTTTTTTTATTTTAAAAAGTAGCGTTGTAAATACTATTATTTAATTTATTAAAAAAATTTTTTTTTCAGACACCTTGGGAAAACGGTGTTTATAAAATGATCATGACATTTCCTGAAGGTAGGCTATTTCCTTATTATTTGGACAGAATCATATTCTCTAAAAATTTCGCGATTTATTATAATTTGGGTATATATGCTTTATGAAGTGAGTGCAATCATTTGTCTTGTGTATACTTGATGTTTATTAATTAATAATTAATGCTATTTGATTTTTTGGTTGTTGTCATAGATTATCCTTCAAAGCCACCAAAATGTAAGTGTAGTAGTCAAAGTTTAATTGTTCTATAGGTTAGACAAAAAAAAATATATTTATTAATTATTAATAATAATGAATATTATTATTGTATAGGTAAATTTGCACCGGCTCTCTTCCATCCAAATGTCTATCCATCTGGCACAGTTTGCCTTTCTATTTTAAATGAAGAAGAGGATTGGAAACCTGCTATTACCATCAAGCAGGTAATAAACCTTTTTTTCGTTCCAACTTTCATAAAATAATTTGTTTATAAAATTTTTTTTTGAAAATAGATTTTATTAGGTGTCCAAAATCTTTTAGATGAACCAAATCCTGAAAGTCCTGCGCAATCTGAAGCTTACATGTTGTATAAGTAGGTATTTTTTAACTTTACATCTTTAAAGATTACAACTTTCAAAATTTTTTTTTGCTTATAACTTTTTAATTTTATTAGGAAAGATCGTGTTGCATACGAAAAAAAAATAAGACAACAAGCAAAAGACAATCCAGCATAAAAATAAATTTACGTTATTAAGTATGTAAATACTAAATTAAATATTTATAGATTCATCTTTATTATATACATGTTAGAAACTATCTATTATTTGATTCAATTACTTCTTGTTATATTTTATCTTTTTTATTTGAATAGTTATCAATAAATTTTGCTATCATTACCATTTTATTAAATTTATTTGAAGTTTGCAGTTCATGTAACACAAATTTTTGGATTTCCCTTTCAAAATAAAAAAATTATGGACAAGTTGGATTTTTTTCTTGTTTGCATAGTAACATTTTATTTTGATATTATGTCCTTTTACAAAGGTCGAAGAAAGTTTTAATATTCAAGTAACACGTGATATTTTGGAATATGAAGTTGATATTGAAGGTTTAGAAAACATGAGGTTTCATAAAATAATAAACATTTTTGAGTTTCCTAGAACTTTTTATAGGCTCTTTAATATTGTGTGGAATAAGTTGACCTATTATTCATATTATGAAAATTTTAATTCCTACTTGGATTAAATTTTATTCCCAATATGTTGATAAGTTATCTTTTTAAATTTAAAAAAATAATAAGGTAGGTCAATTTTATTTTATGTAAGATAAATTCTAATCGAATAAATAAGCAAATCATCTTTGCTTATGAATAAAAAAAGTTCGTATCATTTTTGGTTTATTTAATGTATATACACTTTCTTGTCTTCAATCATCAATCAAAAAATCATTCGTCAAAAAAGTTGCTATTTTATTTGGCATTATAAGTGGTTGTCATACAATATTTTGGGCAGGCAGAACATTACCAAACATGTTTACATATCCATTAGGTAACTAAAGAAGAAATCTTTTATTTTTATTTTTTATGATGAATTATTTATACCTAAGAAAATTCATATATATAGTATTAAGGTTTTCTCATTGGGTGATGGCTACAATTCATCATCATCACTACCATCACCTTCTAAAACTTCGAAAATGAAAAAACGCATGTCTTCAATGATCCATTGTTTAATTTTATGGCAGTAACATTTTGTTTCGAGGTTTCAACATTACTTTCTTTGATCTTAATACTGGAATTATCACTTAGAAATTTGAATTTCTATGAGTTACTTCATCTGCTATTCCTGTTCATTAGGTAGATAACCAATATTTAGTTATTACTACATATAACTCGTATATTCATAAGTATATTAATGAATATATATATGTTTTTTTATACATTCAAATACAGCATTAACCTTAATTATTGATTCATACTTTTGGCAGGCATTTATGTGGCCAGCATTTCATTTCAATGTAATATTGGGCAAAAGTGTGGACTGAGGAGCAAGTATAGTTCTTACAAAAGCTAATATTTGATATATATTTTTTTCTATCAAATATTTATCAAAAGGTTCATCTTTTCACATCTATCTCACATCTTTATTGTTAAGTATACTTTCAATATTTGTGGATTGACATATTCATGAATTTTTCCCTCCATGATAATTTTTGTGTTTTTATTCACATGTTCAGCACTTGGAATTAATTGTATGGATGTATGTAAATTGAATTTTTATATGTATATTTAATTACTTAATCATTAATACTTATTATTATTAAATTAATAATAATAATAATAAAGCAAACAACATGTATCAATATTAGTTCATAATTTGTTAAAGTTGATTATGGGACTTCTTTTTTTAAGCCTTCTTTTCATAAGTTTGTTGATGGCTATTATTTCAAGTTATAATTACCCTGGCGGAGTGGCTTTACAAAACTTGCATGTTATTGAAAAATGATTTCTTGGTGGTAAGAAATTTTTTATAATTTAATTCCATTTTATTTTTTTTAAAAATAGATATCTTATATTTATATATATATATATAGCTAGAATACATATAAATGTTGATTCAGCAATGACAAGTGTATCCAGATTTGGTGAATTGAGAAATGACTGGCATTACTCAAAAGATGAATCACATTTGTCGCCAGAAGATTATAAATCATATACACATTTATTAACTTCTAGACCTAAATTTCATGAAGGTAGTTTTACCATCATTGATATGGTTGATGGATATCAATTTTTGAGAATCAAAAAAACAAATGAACTTACTCTGATGTGGATTAATTTGTTTAATCTACTTGTTAGCTATAAAAAAAACAATTATTATCAGTTTAAAGAAAT